CAGCACGTTTGTTTTTATGTAAAGGAAGTTTCTTGTTTGGTCCATTTTTAACCTTTTACTTTGTTCCTTATTCGCTGATATATGTGCTTTAATTCCCCTAGTTATTACTGTATTGTAAGTCAACATTATTTAATCAATCTTAGCACAAATCTTCGAATAAAACACTTCAAGTTATTGTAACAAAGAATAAAAATGGCTGGCAAAAGTTTTAGCTAAGTAAAGGACCGATTACTTGAAGAAATTTCAGCCGGGGCTAAGTTTCAGCCCTGCCCTGTTATAATATCCTATCAAAATAGCGTACGTGATTACATGAGAACAATTCTATGTATTGTGCCAGATGCATCGCTAGATCCGTTACTTGTATCCATCACGTTGTAGTTAGGACGGATTGTAGCAAGTTCTTCTTTGAAGTCGATGACACTTTTTTCCCTAGGTTCCTTCTGGGTCAATTTCTCGCAAAACTGACTGCACAGCATGTTTAGGAACTTATGTGGGTACACTTGTGTTTAACTGAAGTTTATGCCAAACGGAACAATATCCTTTTAAGCAAACAAGTGCGTCAACGAACTCCCTAATTTATCTCTCAAGGTCATCATAGTTGTAATCAATAATTCGCGTTTTTCCCTCAAAACTGGCCATTAGCCTTTTAATTGTAGCAATGCTAAATGCTTAACCCTTTAAGTCCCAAGTTTATTTTAGAGAAAAAATGAAATAGCGGACAATAACAAAATAAAGTTGTAATAAAAGCCAACATTTACTAAACTACATACAAATCATATATCAATTTAAAGCTAATATAATGAAGAATTTAATTGTAGTGTTCAAAATAGGATAAAAATCGTTTCCATGGCGACACAAGGTGTCAATTGCCGAAGTGATAATATTTTCAAACTAAAACATTCAATCTAAAGATAAAGTTCTCGGAATATTCTTTAGATGTAATTGCTTACTACTGCTCACAAAAAAGCCTGTATTATAAGCTTTCAGATGATGTATAATTTTTCTTATTTAGACACTAGAAAGCTCAAATAATTGGAAAATTGCAATCGTACCGTGCCAGCAAATATAGCAATAAAATGAGAAATAATTTCAAAACTATCTATGAGCTTGAAAAAACTTATAGGTTGCACTAACTTAGGGTTTTATTTCATAAAACTTGTAATTGTTAATACCATGCTTATAGTTACCAACAATTCTGTCGGAAAAACTACTGCCTGGTGTGGAAAATTTTAGAGCTAGGTGCTACACATAGTCCCACGTCGCAGTCTTCACAGAAATAGGAAGTCCTTTTCGGTTTTTCTTTTGTGGAACATACTTTGCACCTTCTTTCCTTAGTCTTCCTTTGCTGTTGGATGGAATTATGCTTGGAAAATGTATATCCCGAAATCTAGCAGGCGATTCAATAGCTGGTCGAACAACATGTGTCCGAGAAGATAACTCCCCAATAAGAAGTTTGGAGATTTCTAGGCAGAAATTCTTTGAACTCCTCATGTTATGGTTTGATGACAGCCTTTCCAGGATGTGGCTGTTTACAATGCATCTGTGCAGTAGTTCAAAAAATATTCTTAGCCACCATTTCTTCCACCTACAGTTGATACCATAATATGATTTCATCTGGTCATTCCCGCCAACTCCACCCATTGTATGATACAATGATATTTGAACATCATCTGTATTGCCATCCTTCTTTCATCGCTTTATTGCAATTGTAGCAGTATCAGATGGTATTGCTTGAGATGAAACCATATTCAGAACACGGTTGTCCATCCATGTTACTGCAGTAATGGGTCCTTTGAATCGAAAGACAGATTGCCCTTCCGAAGACAATCCTTCTGGAAGAATAGTAGCAGGACCAACATCTTGGGTAAAAGCACCACGTCGTATTTCTCCCTCGTATTTATCGTTCGACCATTGAGTGTTTGAAAATTTGTATGCCAGTATTTTGCCAGACTGAGCGACCGTTTCCTCTTCCTCATCAGTTTCAATTAGGTCGACATCATGTACGTTGCTGAGGATTTCTACTTGTTCATCTTGCACAGAAGAAGACAGACCTTCAACCAGTGGCGGATACAGGCCAATCGTTTACCTCCCTCAAAGTAGCATTACTATGAGTGCTCGTTTTAGCGCCGCAGCGCTGTAACTTTTTTTGATCGTAAGAGCAGCGCGGTAACAGGGGGCGGCGCTTAAAAGAAGCAGTGGCAAAACAAGGATTTCGGATTAAAGAAGCACTTAATATAATCAATAATTCTGACTGTTTCGCTCAATATCAGAGCTCATCAGCATGCCTAGGCATGCTTCAAAAGCAGCCACATGGACAGTCAACTTGACTGCCATTTAGTTAAATGGTTGCGAAACTTTGCCTTAATGATGCTATTATTTTAAGTTTCTTGTTTTCATGTTTGATGTTTGATTGTTGTTAATAATGACTATACGAACTTTAATCTTGTGTTATCCATAGCAAATCTGTCGATAACTTCTGACGTTTCGGGCACAATTTCTTGATGAACTCTCATCATGGCCAAACCGTTTAGACGCTCTGAAACCATCGTACTTCGCTTATAATTTTCAGTTCGCGCAAAACTGAGAAAGAGCGTTCGCATTCGCAAGATGTGATAGTAAGGGTTCCAAGAATACGAAGAATAATTTTGATGTTTTCAAAGCCTTCAAATTTTAAAGCTTTTAAAGTTGCTGAAATTGAGTCTGGAATGGTTCCTTCGTAATCAACCCAATAAGTTTCCCAAAGCAAAATCTCTGAGTCCAAAGCCAATGGATTGGGTAGGTCATCGTGATAAAATTGGAAACAACTTTGAATTTTTCTTTCCAATTCATGCCATTGTTAAGAAGAGAAATCATTTTATATGGTACAATGCTAAGCCCATTGTACACATTAACGCTATCAGTATTGAAACGAGCTTTCAACGCAGAGTTTAGGTGGTCAACAAGTGGAATAGAAAAATTCTTTTATAGTACTCAGATGTAGTTTTATAGGGGACATTAGCTCGTGTTGTCTGTCTTCCCACTGTCCTTGGCTTTGCTTCATCAATATCTAATTCTCGAGCCAGTGCGAGACTCTTCATACCATGTATCGTGATACTTATCAATGGAATTCCTAACATTAACAACAAAAGTTTTCAACGATGTAATAAGATGTAAACCATCCATAATGTCAATACTCTTCCCTTGAAGAAGCTGAGTAACACCAATTGTAGAATCAAACACATTTCTACAAATAACCAGGGCAACAACAAAATCAAACTTTTCCAAAAGATCAAGAAGTTCAGAGGCATCCGAAGAAACATTGAGACTGTGATCTTTATCTACATTTTTCTTCATTTCTCTCAACGTTTTAAAACAGGAATAAGAAGCTGCTGGAAAGTATCTAAGCCGTCGATTCTCTCAACCCACCTAGTTCGACACACATCTATTAATTTCTTTTTCCTACCGGCTGATAAAGAACCATGAAGGTCAATATTCTTTTCTAAAGGTATTTGTCGTGTAGGGAAATATTAAAAAATCAGAAACTTTTTTAACTCTATTGAGCATCGATTTTACATCCATTATATTAATAGACTCACAAATCGCTAAATTTAATCTGTGGCTGTAGCAATGGGTAAAAAGAGCCTTATCATTCAAACGACGCAAATGAGCAGCCATCCCATTAATATGACCAGCAACAGCACCTGCCCCATCATATCCCTGTCCTCTACAATCAGCAATAGAAAGACCAAGGTTGCCTAAAGCATCAAGAACAACCTTAGCAAGCTGCTCACCTTTTAAGCCCCATTTACAAGGAAGAAATCCAACAAACTCCTCCCTAATATCCATATTTTGGTCGATAAAACGCAAAACAAGAGACATCTGTTCAGTATTTGAGATGTCTCGAGCCTCATCAGCAATTACAGAGTAGAACCTGCTTGCTTTTAAGTCAGAAATGATTTTATCTGTTATTACTTCACCACAGCATTTAATAAGCTTGTTCTGGGAAGTTTTAGAAATATACGTCTGATTCCTACCACATGAATTCAGATGGTCCTCTAACACCTTGTCCCCAGCACGCACTCTAAAATTAAGAAGTTCAACAAAATTCCCAACACCACCTGCAGAAAAATTACCAGTTTCAGGATGATAGTGCCCATCATCACGATGACCTCTAAAGGCTAAGCCCAAACGACCACATGTTAAGACCGTATCGGTAATTGAACTTAATTTAGCCCGTTACCTTCAACTTCTTTCTTAACCTTAGAATCAATAATAACATTAATGCCTTTTGTTTTACCAGACATGTTAGATTTGAAGGCAGAATAAACTGGAAAAGTAGAAGCATGCAAACCATTCAAACCATGAAAACTCATTTTGCCATCACTCTCTTTGCCATCATGACGTTTTAGCATTTTGGATGCATCTGTCCAACGACGAAGTGGCTGAGAGAATAGGTTGGAAATTTTTGAGGCCTTATCTTTAAAATTATCACCAAAAAGGACACATGGCAAACAAAAACCCCCATCCAAGGATGGAGAATAACATAACCATTCATACCTTTCTAACCAATCATAACGAAAAGATCTTCCATTCGTTTTTGGGAATTCAAAATTTTCATCTGGTCTATAAACATTTACTATGAGATTGTAAATTTCCCCATCGCTCATGCCTTTTCTTTTTTCTCTGAAAGTTGCAACATCAAAATTAAGGGGAATATGACAGTCAACAAGAGAAGAAGCCTCACTAAATGACACTATTTTATCAGAAGGGGGTTTTTTGTAGCAAGTTGCATCAAGAGAAGAAGACTTGTCAATAGATAAGGTGCTAAGGCTAGACTTATCAGTTTTAAAATTACTGTTAGAAGGTTTATCAATGCAAGACAGCTGGAAGAATCGCTTAATATCTTGGTGTTCTTGTAGAGAAGAGTTGTCAGGATGCTTGCGCTTTTTGTTACACACTTTATGTTTTTCATTTTTTGTTGAGCAAAGAAGAGGAACATAATGGTTTGGCAAAAGCTCGCCAGACTTAACCTTGCCTTCATAGCAGAATAATATGTGAACAGCAACATCCTTCACAATTGCTTCATTTGCCAAGCGAGGGTTTACATGTCTATTAAAAAGTAATTTGGGTCTTATGTCCCCACAATCTGGATAATAAGTAAATATTTCATTACCAATAACTGATGATAAGCCCAGAATACACAAGAAAGGTGACCAGGTACCATCATAACAATTTAAAATAGCTTCTTGCTTAATTAAATCCTCATTCTTTAAGCCGGAATCTAAACATGAGGCCGATACTGATAATGGCAAAAGATTAACAAGACTAAGGTCATGGTGCTCAGTCACTGCCAAAGAAAATGCAGGATGTTTATTGTAAAATCACAATGAAGGTATAGCTCAAGGGAAGTCAGTATTCTTAAAATACTTACTAAGCTGTTGTCTCCTACAAGCAGCAAAGATACTGAGCTGTAAAGACAATTCCCTGATGCTTGAGATCTACAAGGTTCAAAATAATCCCTCTTTAGTTTAAATTTCTTTTGTGTTGTACTAAACAGCGTAACTTTAAATATTAAACATCCAATAATGTTATATTACGTATTTAAAAACAGCTAAGCACATGTAACATTGCCATATAAAGTTATTCATTCAGATTCTTAATTTTCCTTACATAAATAGTATACCAGTATTTCAGTTAAATTTATAAGTTATTATTCGCTTATTTAATTATTCGAATAAAATACAAACTTCGATTGGTAAACGAAGGATTTCTGCACTGGCAAGTAATGCAAAATATAAGAATTACAAAACATCAGATATTGACAAGCTTATTAAAAATTCAGATAAAGCAGTAGAATAAAAGCTAAATTGAACAGCCATATAAACACATCGTTACCTGATTGCAGTGTAGATCTTTCCCTGCGATTTCATACTGCTTAGAATATATGTCTCAGCGACAATATGCCGGTACAGTGAATTGCCCAGTTTTGATCGAAGCAAGTAAGATGAACATCTTGGCTTTGAATTCAACTGCCCGCGTAGCTCGTTGTACAGAAGCAACAGAGCTTCTTTGTTGTTGCTGTTCATTGCCTCTTGGGCTTCTAGAAAACAATCTCTATCCATTTTCAGAAGAAATTGCGTGCGGTAAATGTTAACGATACTAGTATCTCGAAAGTCGAAAGTCGAAAATAGTGAGGTACGCTTGCTGTACTTGAGGGAGTTGATAAAATGCACCAATAAAATGCACTGTTAGAATAAACATGGAACATCGTAACCAATCATAGACATTATTCCAAACAAAGTTCAAGGTCAAAAACCAGCTAGTGCCTCAAAATATTCTCCTTATGCCTCAAAATTTTCCTTGGTACCTCAAAATTTCCTCAAGTCCCTCAGAAACCCATGGTAACTGCAAGTTTTAGCCAATCAAAATGCTCATTCAAGCTTGGGTACCTCAGTAGCCGCTGACAAGTACCTCAAAAAAATCGCTTTGCTTCAAAAAGCAAACTATAAAAACTGGAATCAGATTTGAGTATTTTGCGATCAGATACTGAACGCTGATCGCAAATAGTAACTTAACTCAGTTAACTGGACTAAAACCTATGATCTCAATTATTACGTAATTCTTTGAAAATTTTATGTACCTCGCGTGAGGGTCTTGAGGTACCCTAGATCCGCCACTGCCTTCAACATCAGGTTTCGAAAAGGCAGAAAGCTCGCAATCAATATCTGAGCACACTCCATCATACGAAATACCATAATCTTACTCTAGGACGTCTACAACTTCGTTCAATTTCATGCTGTTGGGTTTATCCGCCATTGTTTATGTCTTGCCAAAACAAAATTTAAAGGGCAAGATTAAAAACTTCACAAAAAATCGCTCAAAACTGTTTGGTAGACAAACTATGTATCAAAATGCTCGCAAACACCTCCTTAATCGAATGGTGTACTTTAAAGCGCATGTCCGGCTTTTGTTTATGAGTTAGCTGGGCAAAAGAAGCGCTGGCACGTGGTGTCCGATATATCGGACACTGGGACTTAAAGGGTTAACATACTGTAGTTCATGAAGTTTTCTTAAAAACATACGAATTTCTTCATACTTAAATCCTTTATAGAAATTAAAGAAGATAAGTCTTTCTAGGGAAAATTCTTCGTGCAACTAGTCTGAATCAGTGAACTCAATAACAAATTGGTAAAAATGAAATAAAAGAATTCTGAATCCAGAATCGAATTGTTTGACGCCATTATAAAATTGATATTTTGGCAGCATATTGTATATTGTCCCGTATATTTCACTTCCGCCGTAGAGTTTTGTTTATTGCCGTGGAGTTTTGTTTATTGCCGTGGAGTTTTATTTATTGAAGTGGAGTTTTGTTTATTGACGTGAAGTTTTGTTTATTGCCGTGGAGTTTTGTTTATTGCCGTGAAGTTTTGTTTATTGCAGTGGAGTTTTTTTCATTGCCGTGAAGTTTTGTTTACTGCCGTGGAGTTTTGTTTATTGCCGTGGAGTTTTGTTTATTGCCGTGGAGTTTTATTTATTGAAGTGGAGTTTTGTTTATTGACGTGAAGTTTTGTTTATTGCAGTGGAGTTTTGTTTATTGCCGTGGAGTTTTGCTTATTGCCGTAGAGTTTTGTTTATTGCCGTGGAGTTTTGTTTATTGCCGGAGTTTGTTTATTGCCGTAGAGTTTTGTTTACTGCCGTGGAGTTTTGTTTATTGCCGCGAAGTTTTGTTTATTGCCGCGAAGTTTTGTTTATTGCCGTGAAGTTTGTTTACTGCCGTGAAGTTTTGTTTACTGCCGTGAGTTTGTTTATTGCCGGAGTTTTGTTTACTGCCGTGGAGTTTTGTTTATTGCCGCGGAGTTTTGTTTATTGCCGTGGAGTTTTGTTTACTGCCGTGAAGTTTTGTTTATTGCCGGGAAGTTTTGTTTACTGCCATGGAGTTTTGTTTATTGCCGCGAAGTTTTGTTTATTGCCGTGGAGTTTTGTTTGTTGCAGTGGAGTTTGTTTACTGCCGTGGAGTTTTGTTTATTGCCGTGGAGTTTGTTTATTGCCGGAGTTTTGTTTATTGCCGTGAAGTTTTGTTTATTGCCGTGGAGTTTGTTTACTGCCGTGGAGTTTTGTTTATTGCCGTGGAGTTTTGTTTATTGCCGTGGAGTTTTGTTTATTGCCGTGAAGTTTTGTTTATTGCCGTGGAGTTTTGTTTACTGCCGTGGAGTTTTGTTTACTGCCGTAGAGTTTTGTTTATTGCCGTGGAGTTTTGTTTATTGCCGCGGAGTTTTATTTATTGCCGTGGAGTTTTGTTTATTGCCGTGGAGTTTTGTTTACTGCCGTGAAGTTTGTTTATTGCCGTGAAGTTTTGTTTACTGCCGTGGAGTTTTGTTTATTGCCGCGAAGTTTTGTTTATTGCCGTGGAGTTTTGTTTGTTGCAGTGGAGTTTTGTCTACTGCCGTGGAGTTTGTTTATTGCCGTGGAGTTTGTTTATTGCCGTGGAGTTTTGTTTATTGCCGTGAAGTTTTGTTTATTGCCGTGGAGTTTGTTTACTGCCGTGGAGTTTTGTTTATTGCCGTGGAGTTTTGTTTATTGCCGTGGAGTTTTGTTTATTGCCGTGAAGTTTTGTTTATTGCCGTGGAGTTTTGTTTACTGCCGTGGAGTTTTGTTTATTGCCGCGAAGTTTTGTTTATTGCCGTGGAGTTTTGTTTATTGCCGCGAAGTTTTGTTTACTGCCGTGAAGTTTTGTTTATTGCAGTGGAGTTTTGTTTATTGCCGTGGAGTTTTGTTTACTGTCGTGAAGTTTTGTTTACTGCCGTGAAGTTTTGTTTATTGCCGTGGAGTTTTGTTTATTGCCGTGGAGTTTGTTATTGCCGTGGAGTTTTGTTTGTTGCCGCGAAGTTTTGTTTATTGCCGTGGAGTTTTGTTTACTGCCGTGGAGTTTTGTTTATTGCCGTGGAATTTTGCTTATTGCCGTGGAGTTTTGTTTATTGCCGTGGAGTTCTGTTTATTGCCGTGGAGTTTTGTTTATTGCCGTGACACTTGTGGGCCAACATAATATTCAGTACACCCAGACAAAACAGTTTTATAAATCAATATTTTGTTTGACATTCGAAGTCTGCAATGGCTTCATTTTGATAATTCTTCGTGAATGATACATTCTGGATCGGATCGATATCAACAAATGTTTTTGTGGATAATGAATAATGATTAGCAAACCGCTCGTTAGGAAAATAAAAACTTTGTACAATAGACAGAGAACATTCTCCTTCGGTTAAACACGGATAACGGGATAAGATCAAAATCTCGACAAATCATTGTCTATTCGAATATTTCATTGAAATCATTGCCTTAACATGACTAGAAAAATAAGATTACATGAGAATGATGACATGGCTATCATAGATAATGTCCTACGATTGTCTGCTTTAATTTCTATCCAATATTTTACTCAATGATTTTACTCGGTGAAAAATCCTGGATACAGACACTTGCATCAGATTTGCAAATTTGTCTATACTTTTTATCATTAGGGGAAGTACCCGAATGATACGAATTTACGTAACCACGTCTATTATTATGAGAAGGTTGAAACAGGCTGATACGAGATCAAAAAGAAAACAAAAAATAAATGGCTATAAGTATTAGTAGTCGAGAGGGAATTGAAAACTTTTTCCAAATTCCAATGCAAAAAATGCTGTCAGAAAACGTGCAAAAAGGATAGCGCGCAAATAAATCTTTGCAACATAAAATAGCAAACAATTTGTGGTTGAACTTGAAATCAACTTTTAAACTTTTCCATGATCCATTAAAACCTTCAAAATAATACAGTTAATTAAAGGGCATTTGATTAATATTCGTTGATGAAGTGTATTAACGAGGTGATAATTGTCAGTAAATAAATGATTTTGTTGAAACTCATTCTTCTGCGGTGAATTAAATTTTCGAAAAACTTTCTTTCCCTGTGCATCAATCATCTTTCATTTAGAGATATTCCCGCACTGAGATATCGACGTGATGCACATTAGTTTTTCTGCAACAGTTTATTATTATGCAATAATAATTCAAAAATGTCTCTATCCTTTATCACAGAACGATCATGAAATATTTGCATATGAAATATTTGAAATATTTTGTTTGTTTTGTAGTAAGGCATGCTGACTTATCTCCACTGAATTCGAAATCATAATACCGCCACGTAATGAAAGGTCACTGAGCCAAATTATTTAGCACAGCTTTGACTAACAAGATTTTTGTAACGAGATCTGTGAAATATAAGACAAAAAATAAATGGTTATATGTAATAGCAGTCGAGAGCGAATTGAAAACTTATTCAAGAATTTCTCTACCAAAGAACGATCATGAATGTAAAAGATTTTGTTTGTTTTGTAGTATGGCATTGTTGAGTTATCTCCCACTGATTTTTGACATTAGCATAATAATTTACGTCTACTGCCACGTAGAAAAACACTGTTCATTACTGAGCATTCCTTTAAGTAACAAGATTTTTGTAACGAGATCTGTGAAATATAAAGTTTAATAAAGGTACGTTACAAGTTAAAATATATTTTGATGAATTTCTTAAATGCGTAGTTTCTATTCTCTCTCTTTAAAACCGATTAAAGAATATAATCATACAACGTTTAATTGTTGAGTCTTGATGTTAGATTGTCCAAGTTATAATTCAAAATACAAATGTTATGTTATGTCATCAAGTAAATTTTTTTGCCTTCAGAAAAATAATGAAAAAGTACCTTTTTTACACTTTAACAATTTATAGCAATGTTTAGTCAATGTTTTAAAATGCATATGTTATTTGTTAAAGAGTCATTTCTTCTTAAAGCCGTTGACATTAATTCAAAAAATAATCTTATTCAAACAAATATCACCCACTACGTTCCGTCGTATTGAAAGTCCTTAACGACAATCTTCAACATCAAATTAATCAGTGAACATTGCTATAAATGTAATCATTTACTTGTTGATATAATTCTAGATATTTGTAGTAAAATAAACAATACTATAAGAACCATGTTTGTATGAAAGGTGAGACAGAACTTGACGAGGCCTTTGTCACTTACCAAACAACAGTTGGGATCCTACAAAGACGAAATGTTTTCGACATTAAATCATTCTTCATTTCCGACAAAAAATATGAAAAGCTGATATTACATCACAGACTTGTCTTTAAAAGAAAATTATCAAATATTGCTACCCACTTCTACAAAATAAATAAAACGTTTGTTTAAACAAGCCTTCAGTTTCGTCTCCATTAATAAACAGACCTTAATTTAGAAATTGTACATGTCAGTTAAGATAAAAAATGTTGTTGTAAGTAAAAGTAATCCAAACATTAACTGGTCATAAATTACATTATTTTTTATGAAGTTTGCATAAAGTTCAGCTAAATGACTGGAACTTTTTATAAGAACAAGTGTTTAGCCATGTAATAATCTTTTAGCATTTTGTAGACAATTTATTTAGTGGATTAAGAAGGATATTAAATAAAGTATCAATCTCAAATCTACTGGAAATAATGTTTTCTTTTTTATTTTGTATTTATCAAATAAATATATTTTCAACATAAGCACCTCAAGATTTGCAATGTTCCTAGAAATTGCTTTATAGTAAAATTGCTACTTAAAGTGCATAACAATGAATAATATTGCAAGTCATGTACATTTTAGTTCGACAATATTTAGGTCCAGTGCGATCTATGGATGGTCAGGATACATTACAATCTATTTTCATTTTAAAATACTCTGGAGCGAATCCTATTGATTATTTCAGTCTTAAATATTCTATAAACTTTTAATGGTTAAAAAGTTTTGAATTAAAATAAGCTTCTATCATTTGTTTAAACTACCCTCTATGGACACGGTCTAGGTCTTAATCAATTTAATCTTTCCTAAACCTAGTTCCATGCTTCCAAAGTATCACTATGCATTCATCAGGGACCGAGGCGGACTGGTGCAGTTATATCCCTCCCCCAAATAATTTTGCTTCCATTTTAAATTTTGTAGCCAAATCACTTACTAGCAAACAACTTTCTATGATTCAGTGGTCAATAACCATACCACCTCCATTAAAGAATTGCTCCACAGTCGCTCTTTATTCGTTATATTATTTGAATTTTATATAATTTGACGTTAAAATTCTATTTTAAAAGCAACAAGTTTTTAAACCCTTGTCTTCAAAAAATTTTTACCCTGAAGAATTAAGCGATCAAACAAAACTATAAACGAGCTAAAACAGCCATGAGCCTTAAAGTTTCGGCTTAGCTGGAATCGTCTCCAATTTCTCATACAAACGATCAATTTCATCATTAAATCTTTTCGCTAAAGTAAATCGTTTGGACTAAAGAGTTGGAGTTAGTAATCCATTATCTGGAGTGAATAATTGCGAATGAAGATGAATTCCTTTGACCTGAAATAATGACAGAAATAAGATGAGGTGAAATAAAACTACAGAAGAAAATTATCGAGTAAAAACCTGTTCAAACGACGCCAACTTTGCTTCCTTTCCTCTGGAGATGATGTCATTCAGAATCATGTCATTGACGGCCTGAAGTTTGAAGTAATAGAAAGTACAAGCGTTTAAATGCAATAAAAACATGTGGAATTTCTATGTTAATGTAGTACCGTATCCTGACATAATTCCTCAAAACATTTGTTTATGTTATTTTCTTTGGCCCATTTTGTAAGAATTTCTTCATCAGGAACAATGATTCCAACAAGAAATGACTAAATATTCGAAAGATTACATTATGCTTCATTCCAAACAAGAAATCATAAATTCATTCTTATTTTTATCAAAAAAATCAAAGCCAAACATTTTAAGCGAATAAATATTCCAAATAAATGCAAGTACATTTTTATCAATTTTACTGAACGTTTCCTGACTGGCAAATCAAGAGCAATTTTTATTTCAAATCTAACCCATAAGAAAGTTAGTGAATTGAGACGAATTTTGATCTCAGCAGTAAGCAAAAGATATCGTAATTTTTATAGCAAATCCAAATCTCAAAATTAAGAATCAAATCAAAATTTCAAGCAAAAGTTCACAGCTATGTTGAACAACTCGCCCCAGTACCTTAAGACTAGAACCGTGTACAAAAGCTTGAGCGACGAAAGGACATTTGATGTAAACATTTTCAATTTTATGAGGAGAAATATATTCGCCCTAAAAGACACAATCACAAATAAGATATATAAAAAACAACAAAATATATAATGGTTGCTATGATTTATGTTTTATAAACCTGCGACAACTTGAAAATACATTTTTTTCTACCAATAATTTTAAGCGTTCCATTCTATAAAACAAAAACAGAAACATGAGCACCTCACCACATACTTAATCATTAAGTAAAAGATAATGTACACTATATTTACATGAAAGTAGGATAATACAAAAAAAATTGTTCATGATGACAAAATATTTTTTCTATGGTTTCCTTCTTAGAGTAATAAAATTAATATTAATATATTATAATAAATTATAATAAATTTCTTTCGAAGGAACTTGCTTCGTATTTGGTGTAAAAATTCTTGAAGTCAAATGTCTGTTTTTTAGTTATCATCTTCCTGAATTCGCTTACAGATAATGTCTTAGCAAAAATTAACAACCAGTTAACGTCATTTTTCCCACATTAATTTCGATAACAACAAAAAAACATTATTTTACATCCTTTGCTACTATGTAACTTCAACTGACCTGTTTCCATTCTCCTACATCACCTGTATGCAACCAGCCATCATCATCTAACATTTCAGATGTTTTGTCAGGATTTTTAAGATATCCCTTGAAGACATTTGGACCATAGACACATATCTTAAAAACAAAAATCATTCTTTCAATGCACAATCGTAACATAACATTAGCAAAGTAGAAAATAAAAAACAAGATTCGTTACTTCGCCTTGATTGTTTGAAGTAAAATAGTTCATTTCTGGTACATCAACAAGTTTCACATAGTTACAGGCACTAGGTGATCCAACGTGACCTATAGGTACATACATGGATAAAATATAGTCACCTGTTGGTATAGACAAGTATAAGATAGGGTCACTTATAAGTATACAGATGGATAAAATATGTTGAAAAATTCTTAGTGAGTTATTCACTCTATATTATGTAAAATACTTAGGAAAACATTGTACCATTATTAATTAGAAATGATTACAAAAACCTGGGCATGACTATAATAATAGCGCTATCAACTGCAGGGCCTGGTACCTACGTCGCTAATATGAATGGGGTTTATAGGTAATTGTGACAATCTAACACTAGAGATGAACATTAAGTGTTCGCTTTTTATCTCATTTTCTAGGATGTTATAGTTCATTCTACATAAATAGAAGATGACAAAACACTTCAAATGAACTATTCAGACCCAGGCCCCAGGCAACCTCACTTAGGTCTTAATGTCTTAATATTGACTTTCTCAACGTTTACAATATTACATTTTAAATGAAGTACCGCAGAAGTGTTCATACGGAAATACGTAGTACCTGGTGAAAGATCTAGTTTATTAGTCAGAGAAACAAGTGCTGTAGACTCAGTCTGACCATAACCTTCAAAAATCTTAATACAAATAGAAATAAGATGTAACCATGGTAACACAGTTGAAACGTGATGTCATAAATAAATACGAACCAAACATCCAAGAACGACTCTTAAAAACTCTAAAACTTTACCATCAATAGGAGCAGCACCTGTGAGAATGACATTTACATTTCCACCTAAAATTGCCTGTAAAGAAGGTTGTCAGTTAGTTTCAATACCAGTCCCCCGAAAGAATGACGGCGAGCGCCCGGTGCAGCGAAATGTAATTTACAATTCATTGGCCAAGTGAGAGTAAAACAATTAGCAGGAAATATAAGGAAAATCACTGATCTCAATATCATTGAAACATGATAAAAGCTTTTTTAATGAAACGAATGAAGTGTTTTACGAGTATAAAAATGTTGACGTAACGAGGCCTCATCGGTGACGTAACGGGCTCTTACCTGTGACGAAGGAAGCCGCCAACAGTGAAGTAAATGGCCCTCACGGGTGACGTAACAGGTAGTCACTTGTGACGTAACAGATAGTCACCGGTGACGTAACAGCCTGTCAGTTATATCCTACCTGAATTTTATGAAAAACTATTTTCTCCCACAAAGTATTTTTTGAAATTTGACCTCTACAGTGAAAATAAATATATTTAGACTTTCATAATGCTCTTAAAGCTATTTCATTCACTATTGAATACTTTTTCAAGTCCGCTCTCTTCGACTCAAAAGCCTTGTAAAACAGCCATTTTTTTTAAGCCACTGCTACTTTCAATATTTGATATAACCTGCAGAAATAAAATCACAGACAAATGAGCACAACAAATCTTTCACACGAATAAACAACGATTGTCTACATTGAATAACCTTATCGTAAAGACGGTTTAACAAACGAGGAACTGAAGCGAAGAATGTCGGCCTAAAAAATTAATCACACATCATATTGTATGATTTACAGTGATCAACAACAAGTGAATGAATTTCAAGAGAATTACCTCAATAACTGGATGTCATCCAAAAGAAGTTTCACATCACCACGAAAGAACCCAGCTCGACCTCCAGCACAGCAAATAATCATCTACAAATGACGATGGCGTAGTACAAAAATCTGTAGCTTAAAAGAACAACTTAAACCAGGAAGTAAAATATTTTTCAGTTACCATAACAAGTTTCTCGTACATGTGAGGAAGCGGAAGATAGGATATATGAACAAAGCTTGAATCCACTGGGTAGCCATTCTAAAGACAAAGTATGTAGAATTTGAAACTAAAGAACAAAGCAAAGATACTATATTCATTTTACTAAACCTTCTCAAAATGTATAAAAGTTGCAGCGAGGCAGGATATCATGTTCTTGTTGCTCAACATCACTCCCTTTGGTTGTCCTAAAAATAAACGTCATAACCAAAGTTCAATATACGTACCACTGGTGAAACTACACAAGAGAATTACCTGGGGGTACGACTCCTAAAATCAGGGGCGGATCAAAGATTCGCGACAACCCTCTACACCCCTTCCCCCCAACTAACATATTTAGAAAAATACTAAAAAATGTAATTATTTACAAAAATGCTAATATTTACATACAATGTTTCAGCAAAAGCGCTTTAAACGAAATTTATTTTCTACAATGATTTCCTTGCAATGACGAATCGTTACGAACATGTTGTTTCATCAAATGAAGGCTTTATTTCCTTAGAAAAAATGACTTTGCTTTTTGCAGGTGCTCTCATAGCCGTGTAGCTCCTGGCGATAGCAAATTAATGCCTAATTTCATCCGCCCCAAGGTAAAACTACACATAAATCTTACCCGTGGTACCACTTGTGAAACAAATTGTGTAAACATCGTCAGGTTTAGCACGCTGAAATAATTACTCCCTACTTTCATCTGCCCCAAGGTAAAACTACACATAAATCTTACCTGTGGTACCACTTGTGAAACAAATTGTGTAAACATCGTCAGGTTTAGCAAGCTGAAATAATTAATCCCTACTTTCATCCGCCCCAAGGTAAAACTACACATAAATTTTACCTGTGGTACCACTTGTGAAACAAATTGTGTAAACATCGTCAGGTTTAGCAGGCTGAAATAATTACTCCCTACTTTCATCTGTCCCAAGGTAAAACTACACATAAATCTTACCCGTGGTACCACTTGTGAAACAAATTGTGTAAACATCGTCAGGTTTAGCAGGCTGAAATAATTACTCCCTACTTTCATCTGCCCCAAGGTAAAACTACACATAAATCTTACCCATGGTACCACTTGTGAAACAAATTGTGTAAACATCGTCAGGTTTAGCAGGCTGAAATAATTACTCCCTACTTTCATCCGTCCCAAGGAAAACTACACATAAATCTTACCGGTGGTACCACTTGTGAAACAAATTGTGTAAACATCGTCAGGTTTAGCAGGCTGAAATAATTACTCCCTACTTTCATCTGTCCCAAGGTAAAACTACACATAAATCTTACCTGCGGTACCACTTGTGAAACAAATTGTGTAAACATCGTCAGGTTTAGCAGGCTGAAATAAATCACAACAAAATCCCATTATTTTGAACAAATACATAATTTTTAAAACAAAGAAGAAAAAATCCTCAAGAAAAAGATAACATACAGACATTTTCCAAGGATTCCAGTGTCCCATCAACTAAAAAATAAGAAATGAACACAAATCATCAAGAATGACAAATTCTTGTACTTAATTAACCAAATCGAACAAAGAATTCTCACCATAACATCTTCAAATGACTTTACAGTTATTCCAAGTTTTTAAAGCTCGTCCTTTGTCACATCCCCAATTTTTATAATATGCTTGAGTTTAGGACATTGATGAGCTGACTCCAATAATATTGGCAGCTTGTTCTCATCACACATAACTAATGATAACTCAGCTGAATATAATTTGAAATCAAGTGTCATCGACAGATGTTTCTTAATCACCATAGTAACTTCAACATTCTTAGTAAACATACCATGGTTAATGATGTAGATACATGCTTCAACACCTAAACTCTCATACAGTGGAACAGATACAAAGGAAAACATAACACAGGCTCTGTCCATTAACATCCACTAAAAATAAAATAAAACATTACAGATCAAAATATGACCAATCTAAGTAAAAAATCATAATGTGTGAAACCTCCAATTTGTTTACAGCATAAATGCCAAATGTGATTTCAGTTGATGGTTTATAGCCAAGTTCCATTATCCCAGATCCTAGAGCAAGTGCTTTTTGATGCACCTAAAATTTGGTCAAACTATAACTCATAAGGACTTCAGGCACTATAGATATAGTTTGTAGTAAATATGAGAATTACCTCATTGTGTGTTAACCATGAATATTTCCATTAACTATCGTACCAAGATATGGCTGGTCACCTGTAGAGTGAATTTATAAACGAATACTTCATCAAATAACTTACAAAAATAAACAAACACAAAAATTTTTTTAACCAGAAATTTGAGTTCCTTTCTCATATGCTTCATAAACAGTAGTAATTCCTTGATATGACACCACCAACTCTTCTGAAAACAGAGATCTTTTTGCACCAGGATATTCCTATTCAAATAGAGAAAATACATTTAACAATAAAATATTTATTACATTTGCTAATGGAAGGTATTGTACACTGCGTTGCTAGGGGTGGGAAAGTGAAAATAGTTTTATTTCACATGTGTAATAAACACATGAGGTGAGTCCATCCTGATGAATGTCCCTGGATTCATTTATCATAGAATGTTAAATGGGGAGGGGGGGGATTCATTTGTTTATGTTAAAAGGAAATGACATCACATATTGTGTAACTCTCAACTAGATTATTAATCATGTCACCAATGTACTTATGTTTTTTGTTTCGCCTTGTAAAAGAGCACATGTTATGGTAAAATATATTCTCAATCATTATGGGTTGAGCCTGGGCCACACTATCGTCTATATTGACGAAAACGAAACGAAAATTCGTCTACGAAATGCATGCCAGACACGACGAAAAATTACAAGCATGTTTGCAAAGAAAACTTTTTGGGCAATAAGAGCTGGCGTTTTGACGGATTAGAAAAATGGCGATCTCTAAAGAAAAGATTTCTTCTTAACAAAGTTACTGCTTTTCAAATACCAATAAAAGTGTCGCTACCATTTCCAATTCGGCTCGTCAGTGGCAGCAACACCACTAGCTCTTCTAAGATCGTACTGCCTTTTGTATTGCATGAATGAATCACGCAGATTTGACCACTTTTTCATGATAGTGTCAACTGTAAAATGTTTAAAAAATAATGGAAATGCATGATTTGATCTAAAATGTGTCGGCGGACTATCAATAATACTCACTATCCCACGTCAAGTCAGTAATTTTATTAAATTCATCCAAAACATCTTGCCAGTGATTTCTTTTCTTGTTCCTCGAGTCCTTACAATCCGGGTGAATTTTATCATACAAAATTGGTTTTTCTCGCATCAGATTTGTCAAAACCTCTTGCCACTCCGCCATGTTTGAGTACAAAGTCTGATATTACTAACCAAAAGTATGCGTTTTCTTTGACGAAAAAGGTCAAAACTTCAACTCTTCTCATAAGTACGAAAACGAAATTTTCGTTGCGTTTTCGTACAAAGTTTTCGTTGCGGCAGTTTTCGTTCTAATTTTTGTCGATATGGACGATAGTGTGGCCTAGGCTTAATTCAGTTCTAACATGATGAATAATGATTAGCAAACCGCTCATCAGGAAAATGGAAACTTTGTTCAATAGAAAGAGTACTAAACATTCACCCACCGAGGAAACGAAAGCGATATATGGTTAAACGTTTAATGAACAATATACAAAAGTAAAATATATGTCTGTCTACATCAATAAATCAACAATGCCAATGTGCTTATATCACCTCTAAATAATTAACATAATTAAATTACATCATCACCCAATCAACGACCTGCTAGCAAACTTTACGCGGGAAAGTTATCACTTGTTAACAAAGAGAACATTCTCCTTCGGTTAAACACGGATAGCGGGATAAGATCAAAATCTCGACAAAATATTGTCTATTCGAATATCTCATTGAAGTTATTGGTGATTCTGTGAAATATAAAGTTCAATAAAGGTACGTTACAAGTTAAGTAATACTTTGATGAATTTCTTAAATTTCTAGTTTCTTTTGTCTCTCCTTAAAAACCAATTAAAGAATATACTCACACAACGGTTAAATGTCGTCTGTGATGTCCAAGATGTAATATAAAATACAAATTCTCTTTGACTTATGTTCATCAAATACAATAAAGTTCTTTTTCTCTCTCAATGGTTGTAAATTGTGCTAACTTCATGTTGTATTTCTACACTAAATTATTGATGTAATGTCTAAAGGCTGAAACATACTAGACAGTCGCTTTAGTCGCGCGTCCAAAGCGAATTGATGCGCACGCGTCAGTTGCTTGAACGCCAGAAACACACATGCAGTGACCATCGTGACTTTTACCGTTGCGTCTATTGAACATGGCGAAGACTTCTGTTTGTTACAGACACAGATATCACTTACACATTTTATTTTGGCCTTTATTATAGCTACTAATATATGAATATTTACTCAGTACAAACTACTATGTGGAGAAAAGAGAACAAGCCAGTTAAAACACGCCAATATGATCATAGCACATTACGCGTATATCGTGGACAATCTTATTCTGTGCATTTAGGTTGTGCATTAGGATTCCAGTTTGTAGCTCCTATTGTCCCTATTTGATAAGTCATATAAAATCTGAAAGATTCCAGTGTGAATCATTATATATGGCCTTCGTTTTCCAAGGAATAATCTATAAATTCCGTATGATGCTCATGACAGGGAATATGATATGCATTTAGGAAGTGAAAATTTATGTATTAGCCAATCAGTGTAAAGCGACTAAAGCGACCAATGTCAAAAGTTCAACATGTTGAACTTTCAAAGCGACTAGATGACGCGACTACGCTACTTGCTTAGTAACCACCCAAAGCTGTAGTTTTAGACGCGCAACGAAAGCCATTGCCTAGTGTCTTTCAGCCTTAAGTCTATATTGTTAATGAAATGGCTTCCTTGAATATTCACAGATAAATTTAAACTTCACGACGGGGATGGTTATTTGTTATGGCACTTAAAGTTTATGGAGAAATAATCATTAATGAAGTTTGATGAAATGAAAAAATGTAAGTTGTCTTAATTTCAATTAATACGTCGCAAATTTTTGAATTTCTCATAACTTATCGTTTTATCTAAGAGTGAATTAATAAAAATCAACTGTAATAACACATTTGTGCCATCATTTGCTTATATAATATTATATTATGATGAACTTGGATCAAATTAAATGATCTTGTCCAACAATACATTTCTGAGTTTTACCCTTTCTTAATACGCCTCTGCATGAAGTACACACATACATTGTCCTTATCACGTGCTAGCTAATATTCTTTTATAGTTAAGTGTCTGTCAATCATATGTATCACTATAGGGCAATTTATGTGCATGTATTCCAATTTTCCCTCAATAATTAATGATGATCGTTATAGGGCAACGTTGTTAAATGACGATGAAAAACGATGGTGTGTTTATGGAATCGTACTTAATCATATTTTTATCCCAGCTGTTCGACCTTACCTGGAAAATAATATTTTAAATGAGTATGATGCACTAAAGCAATATCATAATATTCACGTTCAAACGATTCACAACTTTCCTTCACCAAAATATTCCCACGATCTACATTATAAAAATATCAACAATAATGAAACAAAGGATAAGAAGAACTTTAACTATGAAGTTAAGTCACATGTCGACTTTGGAAAACTTTTCCTTCAAAGTCACATGGCAAAGTTTAACAGTTACAACAGTTGTGACGCATCAGCAGTGCTTAATTTACTAGAAAGGATCCCAATTTTTTCCAACCTGGTCCAGAATGCGGCAAAAATCGTTAGAGAAAATAGAAATTCTTGGGGTCACTGCAATTTTGAGGAATGGAACGAAACAGATTTTCAAAAGAAAATCGACAATATGAAGAAACTTGTGAAAGAATTGTGTTTAGCAACTGAAGATGAAGTTTTGAATGATATAAATCATTGGAAAGATCAAGGTATATTTTTCATTATTATATCATTGAGTGGGTTTTATTAACGTTTTGCAGAACGTATGTAACAAAAATTAGTTATAACATCTTCATCTAAAACATCCCAGCAATACCGGTATATCGGTATATCGTATATTTAATATATTTTATCAACACCATTTTAATTACATTTTACAGCTTTGACATTTGGACAAACGATCACTTTATGTGAAGAGTTAAAAGATCACATTAACAGACTTCTTTGAAGACTTTGAGTTAAAGAGAACAAAAAAATCAAAAAAGAAAGTTGAAGAAAGTTAAAGAAGACGAATTGAGAAAAAGACGAGTTGAAAGCGAAAGTTAGTTCTTGAAGACGCTTAATTTTCGAAATTAGTTCAAATTTGAAAGTTGAAGACAAAGTTGAGAAAGTTGAACAAAGTTGAGAAAGTTGAAGACAAAGTTGAAAGGAAGACAAAGTTTCAAGACTTCAGACAAGTTATCAAAGCTATAATAATGGTATGTTATTAAAACTACAAAATTTCAAGTGCGGATATATAAATTTAACATCACAAAACACACTATTGAAAATCCTAAGCAAACTAAGCGATTGAAAAAATGTGAACGATTTGCAAAATGTTAACAATAAACCATTAGTGCTATATACAGAAATGCATTAAAGAATGAAGACGAGATGTCTTTCAAATGAAACTTACTTTAACATTGTATTTTCATAGATTTCGCCATCTGTGACAGCGATATCGATTTATACTACCAGAAATTTGATCAAAAAACAAGAAAATGGTTTATCAACGATTTCTCTGCTTGGTTCGATGAACCTGGAGAATCAAGAGCTTTTGTATTTATGGGAGATGCTGGAGTTGGTAAAACAGTTATGTCAGCTGCTATCGCTCAACGCGCTAAGGATGATGGGAAGTTAGGAGCAGCATTCTTTTGTAGACATTATGATGGTACACGTCGTGATCCAAGATCTCTCCTGGCCAGTGTTGCTTATCAGTTAGGTAAACGTTTTCCTGATTATTTGAAATTATTGGGAGGGGTGTTTGGAATACAAAAACGACTAAGCGATACAAAACTAGGCGTTCAAGAACTTTTACTAAGTTTTCGAAGATCCATTAAGTAATTTAAGACTTTTCAAAACTCTTATTGTGATCGATGCTTTAGATGAGGCAGATTATGATTCGAAAAATGAATTTTTTGATGTGGTAACTTTTCGTTTTCCCCAACTTCCACAATGGCTACTTTTCTTTATAACAACACGTCCAGTAGATTACACGCAATTTACTTTGAAAAATTACAATCCATGTGTAAAGATTTGTTCAGGAGATGCGAATAATGCTGAGGCTTATGAAAAACATGAACAAGATATTCAAACTTTTTTGGAAAATCAAGTCGACTTCACTGGTAAATCATTTTCTGCAAAAGAAATTACAAAAAAATGTAAAGGAATGTTTTTGTTTGCACATTATCTTGTCAAAACTCTCAAAGATTCATCTGAAACGGATCTTGAAAAATGCCCACAAGATATTGATGGTTACTTTCTTAATAATTTTAAACGTATTTATGAGAAAGTTGGAAAAGATTTCTATAAAAAATTGTTAGGTTGTGCAGTGGTTGCTCCTTCACCTCTTCCTAGTTCGTTTATTCCATTTCTTTTAAAAAAGAAAATTTAAATCTTGACGAACAAGAAGTAATTGATGCTATTTCACTGTTTTTTCTTGTGATGAAGAAAAATTCACGTTTCTTCACAATCTTATACCTGACTGGCTCACTGATAAAAGCGCTTCGCGAAAGTTCGTAATAGATAAAACAGCAGCACAAATTTTCTTTAAGGAAATTGTCATCGAACTTTTGACATCATTCCTGAAGAATGGACTACCATTCAATGACTCAGATGAAAATTCCGTTGTCTGTTACATCCTCACAATTGAGTTTCGTTATCTATTTCATCTTTCAACTAAAAACTGTGAATTGTCGCGAATATTTTTTCAGTGTTTTACTAACTATCAATTTCTCAAACAACGAATACAAAGCAGTACATCAGGTATTTTTTCCCTTTTAAACGACATTCACTTTGCAATTGGAAATATTGAGTTAAAAGAAGATGAAAAACAAACTGTTAAGGAACTACAGTCTATTCTTGAAAATGACAGTTTTTATTTGGTAGATAACCCTGATCTTTTGGACTCCTGTCTTTCAAGGTTATCCTCGAAGGTCAGACAAGCATTTATATCAAAGCATTCAAACCAATGTAGATTGCCGAATATTATTTCAAATGACGGCATTAATATTAAGTGTGACGTCTATGCTTATTCAACAGACAGAACTTTGTTGGCAGGAGGAAAAGAAAACGTTCTTTATCTGTTTGAAACATCTTTTTTTCAACAAAAATGTGGTCCCTTTCAGTTAAACGTGGACAAGATTCATTGCTTAGCATTCTCTCCTGACGACAAATGGATATTTTTTGGGACATTAAGATTCTGGTTTTCCGTAGACGAGAGAATGACAGTTGAGAAAACTCAATTTCCACAAACTGATACATTTTATAACTGGGCTTCTTTTGTTGAACATGAACATGTAAATTACATAGCGGTAAGAGCGGAAAATGTTGAATGTCGACCTGATGATGAATGTATATTTTCCGTCACTCCTGAGAAATATCTCACTTCTTTCAAACACCAAATCTGGAATGTCAAAACAGGGGATCATGTGTTTAAGCTCATGTGTGAAAGCGATCTTAATAATCAATGGAAACTGAATTCTTTTTTCTACGTATGGCATTTTTTTCCATATACTCTTTATAAATCGTGCTTCGCTAAATTGTCTCCAAAAGATGTTGTAGATCGTTATGCATTTAATGCATCTAATGTAAAAATCTGCAACCAGGGGATTTACTTTATAAATGATGATCGGAAAAATTGGCTCTTAAGGGTATGTATGGTTTGGCCATTTAATTTGAATCATCGTTTTGAGCTTCTTAAAGATGAAGTATCCATTGTCAAGGAAGGCTCCGTTTTCATTCACAACATGCCAATATCTTTACATAATCTGATTTGGGGCGATATAGTTTGTTTGTCTAGTGACAAAAATTGGTTACTTCTTAAACATAAATGTAAATTTCATTTGTACAAATTTGATCATTCTCAAGATCATGACGAGGTTCACCTTAAGGACGATACTGCTGAGACTAGCTATGATAGCTTCAAGCTCCATGGTGTTATGGAAGGAAATTCAGATATATTTGGTTTTACGCATAATAACAACGCTATCATTTACAAAATAGAAAAAATCTTTTCGCTTGGTTTTTGGATAGCAACAAGCATTTTGAAAGTGTTTCCAGATTTTCCCCTTCGCTTTGTATGGATGAGAAGTTTGTATTTCGATCGAATGGCGAAGAAAAAACGATTTCTTTACAAGACTTTCCTGCAGATTTTTTAAACTCAAACTTTCATAAAGACAACGTAGCCTTTTCCAAGTTAGAGACATTTGATGCAAATAAATTCACATTCTCTTATGATGGACGGTATTTTGTAAAATGTTCTAATTCTGAACTTAAAATTTTTTCCGCCCATTCCTCTTTCTCCACTTCTGAAATAGTTCATAAACTGAAGAATGGTGAATCAGATTTCCATTTTGTGTTGTTTTCTCCAGACTCGTCCTTGATTCTATTTTGTACCAATAACAAGGATTCTCGTCGTCAAACCATTTACGTCTGGTTTGTGAAAGACAAAGTTTTAAAGCTTTTCCTTCCTGAAAATTCTATGAAAGAAGTAGACACTTGTTGTTTTTCGATGAATAACCGCAAAATCATCTTGTGTAGAGGAACATCAATTTCGATGTACGACTATGATAAAAATATAGCCAGTGAACGAACCAGGCGTTCATTTCAATCAGATAGTAAACGGGAGGAGTGTAGCCATTGTATTCTGTCGTCTGACGACAAAATGTTAGCTTGTTGTGTAGAAAATAAAATAATTTTTTATGAGTTGCTAAGTGCTCCTAAAAAAGCATCTCAATTTGAGCATTCGTGTATGGTTAAGTGTTGCTATTTTATGGGAGGAAACAAATATGTTTTGTTTCAAGATATTGCAGGTTACATGTTCATGTTTGATCTGATTCAATGGAAACTTGTAACATACTTTAAAGCTGAAGCTTTAGTTAAAATTTTTAAACTTACTGATTACGAAATAACTTGTATTCAACCAAATGGTAAAATCAATTTTCTCGCTATTCGCGGTTTAAAGGATTGGTCAGGCAAGGATTACAATCTACCTTATAATTTGTATGTGAGCGACTTCGCACCTTTTACAAACAGTGATAATGACGATTATTGCACTTATAGTGAATTTTGGCAAGCTGAAAGTGATGATGACGATTATAGTGAATCTTCGCAATCTGAAAGTAATAAAAGTGACGATGAAATGGTTTAACAATGTAGCTTATAATTTATGTGTGTTGTTAATTTCACTAATAGTGATAATGAAGTCGACAGTACCACCGACAATGTGAAATGTCAACTGAAATTGTTTTGAACGTCCAGGGCTGCATCGTTGAGATGTTACAAGAAATGAAAACTTTTGTCATAAAAACTCATTTCATTTATTTTTTATGTATAATGACTATAATCTACGCCTCCATCAAAGCATCGATTTTTTTCTAAACAAAATAGACAAAGAAAAATTTGCTAAACGAATTTTCATAATCGTATCTTTACCAACTTGATAAATGAGGGTTATTGAGAAAGCCAGCTTCTTTACCGGGGGGTGGCACAGTCATACAAACGAAATTAATATTTTGCGGTCAGAGGCAAATGTAGATAAATTATATCAACTTATTTGTTGACTTATTCAAATTTTAAAACATACCTTCACATTTTTATGAACGTATATTTTGAAAATAAGATTTTTCTGCTGGTTAAGTCCGCAAATGTTTGCAGCATATTGAATTGTGAAAATATGCCTCCCTCCATACTCCACGCCTAAATCATCAACCTGAAACATGCAAAGTTGTTGATAACTTGATCATCTGAGGCCGGTTGCACGAACCTTGGATAGCGTTTATCCATTGGATAAAAATTTTCAAACTTGTAAAAAGGTGTTTATATTTTTTACGACAAAGAAATTCCGTAATCTTAAAACAATGTTTTATTTCAGTGATTGCTTATTAGGAATCTTATAATTATTGCTTTTAAAACGTTTTATAAGAGTTAAAAAATTGCTATCCAATGGACAACGCTATCCAGGCTTCGTGCAACCGGCCCCAGTTCCTAAGTTTCTTAAATTTTCTGCCTTTTCAATAATTTTAAAAACATTTGCTTAAGAACGTCATCTTAAAATCAAACTTTTTAGAAGATAACACAACTGTGTTGTGTAATAGTTGAGAATTCTTGATCTTAGAGATTGGGAAAGTTGATAATTTAGAGATAGAAATGTTATATGTTGTGTAAACATGTAAATTTGTGGTTCTATTTCAGAAAAACATAATGAAAAAAGTACTTTTTTTACACTTTTTAACAATTTATAGCGATGTTTAGAAAATCGTTTTGAGACAATTATTGATGTTATTGATGTTAATAAGTCATTTCGTTCTGAGAAGCCGTGGACATTAAGTGAAAAAATAATCTTATTTAAATCAAATATCCCCCACTACAACTTAACCCACCTGTCGTATTGAAAAAAGTCATCTTAACGACAATCTTCAACATCAAATTAATCAGTAAACATTGCTATAAATGTAATTATTTACTTATTGATATAATTCTAGATATTTGTAGCATAAATAAACAATACTATAAGAACCATGTTTATATGAAAGGTGAGACAGAACTTGACGAGTCTTTGTCACTTACCAAACAACAGTTGGGATCCTACCAAAGACGAAATGTTTTTCGACACGTAAATCATTCTTCATTTCCGACAAAAATATGAAAAGCTGATATTACATCACAGACTTGTCTTTAAACAGAAAATTATCAAATATTGCTACCCTACCCTACAAAAATAAATAAAACGTTTCGTTTAAACAAGCCTCAGGTTTCGTCTCTCCATTAATAAACAGACCTTAATTTAGAAATTGTAGATGTCAGTTAAGATAAAAATGTTGTTGTAAGTAAAAGTAATCCAAACATTAACTGGTCATAAATTACATTATTTTTATGATGTTTGCATAAAGTTCAGCTAAATGACTGGAACTTTTATAGCAACAAGTGTTTAGCCATGTAATAATCTTTTAGCATTTTGTAGACAATTTATTTAGTGGATTAAGAAGGATATTAAATAAAGTATCAACCTCAAATCTACTGGAAATAATGTTTTCTTTTTATTTTGTATTTATCAAATAAATATATTTTCAACATAAGCACCTCAAGATTTGCAATGTTCCTAGAAATTGCTTTAGTAGTAAAATTTGCTACTTAAAGTGCATAACATGAATAATATTGCAAGTCATCGTACATTTTTAGTTCGACAATATTTAGGTCCAGTGGCGGATCTATGGATGGTCAGGATACATTACAATCTATTTCCATTTTAAAATACTCTGGAGCGAATCCTATTGGGATTATTTCAGTCTTAAATATTCTTTATAAACTTTTAATGTTGTTAAAAAAGTCTTTTGAATTTAAAATGAGCTTCTATAATTTATTTTGAACTACTGTCGATGCAACACTGTCTAGGTCTTAATAAATTTAATCTTTCCTAAACCTAGTTCCATGCTTCCAAGTATCACTATTCATTTATCAAGGACCGAGGGGGACTGTGCAGTTATATCCCTCCCCTAAATAATTTTGCTTTCATTTTGAATTTTGTAGCCAAATCCCCTACTAGCCAACAACTTTCTAGGATTCAGTGGTCAATAACCATACCACCTCCATTAAAGAATATGCTCCGCAGTCGCTCTTTATTCGTTATATTATTTGTATTTTATATAATTTGACGTTAAAATTCTATTTTAAGAGCAACAAGTTTTTAAACCCTTGTCTTCAATGTATTTTTACCCTGAAGAATTAAGCGATCAAACTAAACTATAAACGAACTAAAACAGCCATAAGCCTTAAAGTTTCGGCTTAGCTGGAATCTTCTCCAATTTTTCATACAAACGATCAATTTCATCATTAAATCTTTTCGCTAACGTAAATCGTTTGGACTTAAGTGTTGGAGTTAGTAATCCATTATCTGGAGTGAATAGTTGCGAATGAAGATGAATTCCTTTGACCTGAAATAATGACAGAAATAAGATGAGGTGAAATAAAACTACAGAAGAAAATTATCGAGTAAAACCTGTTCAAACGACGCCAACTTTGCTTCCTTTCCTCTGGAGATGATGTCATTCAGAATCATGTCATTGACGGCCTGAAGTTTGAAGTAATAGAAAGTACAAGCGTTTGAATGCAATGAAAACATGTGGAATTTCTATGCTAATGTAGTACCGTATCCTGACATAATTCTTTAAAGCGTTTGTTTATATTATTGTCTTTGGCCCATTTTGTAAGAATTTCTTCATCAGGAACAATGATTCCAACAAGAAATGACTAAATATTGGAAAGATTACATTATGCTAGATTGCAAACAAGAAATCATAAATTCATTCTTATTTTTATCAAAAAAATCAAAGCCAAATATTTTAAGGAATAAATATTCCAAATAAATGCAAGTACATTTTCATAATTATTTACTGAACAAACACGTTTCCTGACTGGCAAATCAGGAGCATTTTTTATTTCAAATCTCAACCCATAAGAAAGTTAGTGAATTGAGACAATTTTGATCTCAGCAGTAAGCAAAAGATATCGTAATTTTTTACTACAAATCCAAATCTCAAAAATTAAGAATCAAATCAAAATTTCAAGCAAAAGTTCACAGCCATGCTGAAAAACTCGCCCCAGTACCTTAAGACTAGAACCGTGTACAAAAGCTTGAGCGACGAAAGGACATTTGATGTAAACATTTTCAATTTTATCAGGAGAAATATATTCGCCCTAAAAGACACAATCACAAATAAGATAAATAAAAAAAAACATTATATAATGGTTGCTATCATTTATGTTTTATAAACCTGCGACAACTTGAAAATACATTTTTTTCGACCAATTATTTTAAGCGTTCCATTCTATAAAACAAAACAGAAACATTATGAGCACCTCACCACATACTTAATCATTAAGTAAAAGATAATGTACACTATATTTGCATGAAAGTACGATAATACAAAAAATTGTTCATGATGACAAAATATTTTTCCTATCGTTTCCTTCTTAGAGAAATAAAATTAATATTAATATATTATAATAAATTATAATAAATTTCTTTCAAAGGAACTTGCTTCGTATTTGGTGTAAAATTCTTGAAGTCAAATGTCTGTTTTTAGTTATCATCTTCCTGAATTCGCTTACAGATAATGTCTTAGCAAAAATTAACAACCAGTTAACGTCATTTTTCCCACATTAATTTCGATAACAACAAAAAAACATTATTTTACATCCTTTGCTACTATGTAACTTCAACTGACCTGTTTCCATTCTCCTACATCACCTGTATGCAACCAGCCATCATCATCTAACATTTCAGATGTTTTGTCAGGATTTTAAGATATCCCTTGAAGACATTTGGACCATAGACACATATCTTAAAACAAAAATCATTCTTTCAATGCACAATCGTAACATAACATTAGCAAAGTAGAAAATAAAAACAAGATTCGTTACTTCGCCTTGATTGTTTGAAGTAAAATAGTTCATTTCTGGTACATCAACAAGTTTCACATAGTTACAGGCACTAGGTGATCCAACGTGACCTATAGGTACATACATGGATAAAATATAGTCACCTGTTGGTATAGACATGTATAAGATAGGGTCACTTATAAGTATACAGATGGATAAAATATGTTGAAAAATTCCTAGTGAGTTATTCACTCTATATTGTGTAAAATACTTAGGAAAACATTGTACCATTATTAATTAGAAATGATTACAAAACCTGGACATGACTACAATAATAGCGCTATCAACTGCAGGGCCTGGTACCTACGTAGATAATATGAATGGGGTTTATAGGTAATTGTGACAATCTAACAGATGAACATTAAAGCTCATTTTCTAGGATATTATAGTTCATTGTACATAAATAAAAGAACACTTCAAATCAACTATTCAGACCCAGGCCCCAGGCAACCTTACTTAGGTCTTAATGTCTTAATATTGACT